AACATTGCGACTTGTATAAATGAATCTATTTAAAACTGTGTCTTCTTGATAACTTCTGTTAGATGGCGCCTTGCCTGTGTAGGGCGAAACAAATAATAACAAAAGGGAAAATAGCATTTTAATAAATGTAACAGTAAATCTACTAAAAAGAGTTAGTGTTAAATGTAACAGTAATTCTACTAAAAAGAGTTGGTGTTAAATTGACTATTGTTATCAAATTTTAGAGTATCAACTTTTCTGAATTTAACGAGCCTATCGATTTGGCTGCTGATCATCGAGGAAGATATCTGATTGCTGATGCACAAAAGGTACGTGCTGTTTTTTGAAATTGTTTTCTTTCATTTTTTTCTTTCTTTTGAACATTTTGTGTAAAATCTGGATAGCGCGATTTTGAAAATTGCGATGTCTCCTTTTGATCCTATTGGTGTAGAAGCAATGATTTGTTTTAGTCTAGCAATTTCTTGCATTTGATTAAGTAATGTAATTAACAAATTGTTACCTTTTCCAGATTTTTGTGTTCGACTCAAACATGCGACCACAGTTCAGCTTTCCAACACGAGGTCAAACAGTCACTTCTGTTAATGTTGGCCTGGATGATGATATTCTTGTGGGCACTACGCATGGACTTCTTTTATTTGATGGAGCTGGCCGCTTTTTAAGGGAGATTCCCATTGCCCCTGAAGAGCATAAGTGAGTTGGAAAACACAGCAAGTGTTTTCTGAACTTACCCTGCTGTTCTTAGGGGCCGGATTATGGTTTCGACATGTGCAGTTTGTCGTGAAACTGGACTGGTAATTGCTGGTGTTGTGGACGCAAAAACAAATAAAGCTCAGTTGGCGGTAGGTATTTTCAATCAACAAGTCACTTATCCCTTCTTTCATTCATTCATTTATTCGTTCATTCATTCTTCAATCCATCCTTTAACCTATCTGTTCAATCATGAAGTCCATTGATTTATTCAATTCATTCAAATTTTTCGTTCTCATTTTTCATTCACTCAATCGATTCAATCATTCAGAGTCATTGATTCATTCATCATCTATTCATTTATTGGTTTCTTCATCCGTTCATCCGATTCCCACATTCGGCTCTTCGCCTTCAACTTTATTCACACCGTCTAACATTTTAATTTATTCCTCATCCATTTACTCGATTCATTCACTCCTTCTATTCATTCTGTCCATTCACATTCATTTATCGTTCATTCATTCATTCATACATCCATCCATTCCTTCATGCATCTTTCATTCGGTCTCCTTATCGTTCAATTGTTCATCCAATAATGTTTAGATTTCACGTTACAAGGGTTCATTCGTGTTCTATATCGACTCTCACGGTGCGCGCCTTCGACGACCATGTGGGATTTGCGTGGGAACAGGCACTCGAGCAGGACAGTGCCTAATTGTTGATCATGCATCGAATACAGTTCGAATGTATAGGTTCAAGTGAATCTAGCAAGATTGACTTCTTTCTTTATATTCTATACGACTAGCCAAGCGATTTTCAACATACTTATCTGTAAATGCAATGTTGAGGTATTGATCGTCTCTAAAACATAATAATTCAGGCTTAATATCAATCCTTTATTCTAGGAAAAACAAATGCTTTGAAATGGTATTTGTCAATGTCTTTGTAGGTGCGGGTGAATGTCCTTTGAATATCGCCGGCTCAAAAGCTCTAGCTGTATAAATGCTCCCATTAATCTATGCATATGATACGTGTTATGCCATAAGCACCAGTGATGACAATGTGTCCGTTCAATGTATAGCATAATTTTGTTGATTAGAAAGATTTGTTAATAAACTGTTGAGTGCTATGTCCTCATGTATCTTGGAAAGGAAAGAACTTCTTAACATTGAGTGTTCAAAAGGTTGAAGGATCATTGAGTATTCAAAAGGTTCAAAGTCATCTTTCTTTTCTTTCTTTCATATCTCTTTAGTGCTCAAACTATCCTGGAAATCTCCCCGAGCTTTACGTAAGGCGAGAAGTTAAGGAAGAGAAAAAAGGTCGACCGTGCGTAATA